GTCCAAATGGGCAGCGCCAACCACCCATTAACATTAACACATGATGCCAATGGGTCGAGCTAACATGTAATTGTACCTTATGGGGGTTTTTATGGGTTGTTGACGTTGAAGTTTCTGCGGAAATTCTTTTTCTTGAGGGAGGGATTTAATATGAATATTTATAGAAAACGGTGGGTCACCAGTACAGTGGTGGAACACACTGGTGATCCACCAGTACAGTGGTGGAACACACTGGTGATCCACCAGTACAGTGGTGGAACACTAAGTACAGATCACCGTAGCTACCTTGTTCCTTCCTCCTTCCAATCCTGCTTTCATTCCATTCCCTAAGCTCCACATGACCCCCTTACGGATTTAGTGCTTCCCTAGGACGAGGATGACAACTGACCAATTTCTCCATGAAGCTGGAATGCAAAAAAGTCAGAATTGATGTCTTCTACTGGGGAATTGATGTATCTTAAGTAAGTATTTTACCTGGTCGTGGTATAATGAATGGAAGTGAAGACAGATTGGTGGTCAGAGGCGTTATAATGACTCGACAAAGGTTATATAATGACCCCATAATGTCTCGCTCCATTAGAGTGATGAGGTCAAAGGTGAGAGTGGTGAGGAAGGGGTTAATGCAGGTTGAGTGGTGGTGGTGGTGGTAGTTATGATGATGGTGGTAGTTGTGATGATGGTGGTAGCTGTGATGATGGTGGTAGTGGTGGTGATGGTGGTATTTGTGGTGATGGTGGTAATGTTGGTGATGGTGGTAGTTGTGGTGATGGTGGTAATGTTGGTGATGGTGGTAGTTGTGATGATGGTGGTAGTGGTGGTGATGGTGAAGGAGGATATTTTATTCTCCTATTAGTCTGTTTATGTATTTACCAGAAGATATTAAACACCTGTTCTGCTGACAGCAGCACAGGTGTTTAATATCTTCTCCTCGGCAGATAACACCTGTTTATAATGGTGTTAGTTAATTACCTCTGTTGACCAGTTATAATTATAACTGAGTGGTTTATATAAAAGACTTAGGAGTCAGGACGCTCAAACAAGCATAACTAGAAATGAGAAATTAAAAAAAGTGAGATTTTAAGTGTATGCGGAGCAGACGATTTATATATATATGTCGTGCCGAATATGTAAAACTGGTCAATTAGCAAGAACTCATTTAAAATTAAGTCCTTTCTAGAATTTTCTCTTATACGTTCAAAGATATATTTTTTTCATTGATGTTAATGTAAAAATTTATAATTTTGCACCAAAAGAATCTTAGAAAACTTACCTAACCTTATTATAACAAGAAAAATTTATTTTAGCCTAACCCAACTAAATATGTTTTAGATATGCTTACAGTAATTTAATACTAAGCAAAACGCAGTGAAATATATTTTTTTCTTCAGGTTCAGAATGATTTTGGCGAAATTATTGCATATACAAATTTTCACTTGTCCTATATGCAAGATGAACGTTGCTATTTTAAGCCAAGATCGCAAGTTCTGCCTATTCGGCACGACATATATATATATATATATTATATTTATTTTATATATATATTTTATTATATTATATATAATATATATATATATATATATATATATATATATTATATATATTTATATACATCCTCAGAGAAAAGAATAATCTTACTTCAGGGAAAACTCAAGGTTGTCCCTGGATCTGTTTGAATATTTTGTCTTCTCCTACCACCTCCTATATTCTATGTAGACTTTATTTAAAGACAAAATACATTGACAAAAATAAAATAGGGAGTAGATCAACATAGATAACATCTCAGAGCTGTATCTCAAATACTTCGTCCAGCCTCCCGGCGGTGGGCGAATTCCAGTGTGACCTCCTGGAGATCCTGCTGGAAATGACACTATCGCTTTATAGACTTCTGATTGTGGTAAAATTAATTGTCCAGTGATGAGGTCTTCCTCAGGGTTGTTATTAACGACTATGGTGTCCCTTGTTGGGTGCTTGTCTCTTAGTGCTTGGGCAGTGGTCTCATCTTTGGGAGCTACAGTGTCGATCACTGGTAATTATTCTGATTGCTCCCACTGTGTTACCTTCTTCGATTTTGTTTTTGCTTAACCTGTGCGACAATTTTCTCGTTTTCAGTGGAATTTTTCTTGGGTCTGCCTCTGTGATTCCTGTGATCATGAGGCAGAGGAACACAACTGTCTGTTCTTGGGTAGTTGCGCACTGCTTTGATTGATGTGGTTAGCAGTTTGCTTCGTCTTTGAGGAACTGCAAGACAGACATTGCCGAGCAGGAGTAGGTTGTGCCATACTTTAATGGTGCCTCGGGCTTCTAACTTGGTGGAACCTCCGTTCACCTGCTTAAGAAGGTCTGTGAATTTCCCTGCTGCATAAGGACGAGCCGCCTTAGGAATGTGAGATAGGATACTGCTAGCAGTGGATTTGAATGCCATCAGAAGATCTTCGCAACTGAGGAGGTTACCATTGGGACTTTCATCTGCCTGTGGAGGCACAAACTCTGGGTTGTTCATAGTGGGGGATGGAGAGGGGTGGACAGAGCGTAGGCCTAGATCAAGTTGGCGGTCTCAAGTCCTCGTGGAAGTTGGGGAGGGAGGAGGTAGAGGTGGCGTGAGGAGTGATGAGGGTGAGGGAGTAGTGGAGGAGAGGTGATGAGAGTGAGGGAGTAGTGCAGGAGATGATGACCTGGGGAGGCAGGCTTGGCAGAGTTGCCCACTCACTGCACTAAACGACACCTCATCATACATGACCCTACACTATATACACTATACACAGCCCGCCACTATAAACAACACACAGCTATACACTCTATCCACTATACACACAAGGCGAACAAACACTCTGTTATCGAAACCAGACTGCAGGGTGCATGTGCGCGTGTTTGGGGGAACGGGGAAAAACACACGCAATACAACCCCTCCTCCATGTTGCCCACCTCCCCTCACTGCTCCCTCCAACCAGTTGTGTATCCTCCCCTCACTGGCACTCACTTCATGCATACAACACTTTTCTTCATTCTAATGGAAGAAATAAAATGCACGGTCGTCTTGTCAGTCCAACATGAGCTGCAGGTGTTCACACACCAGTCTGTTGATAATAATCCTGACAGGTGTTCTTGACTGGCATGTATTATGACAAAACCACAGAAAGAGATACCCACTGCCTCGCTCTGCCAGATTGCCGACATATATATTATAATATAGAATTTTTTTGTTTAAACGATTTTATACCTTTTTTTCCCCCTTTTTGCATATGCATGATGTACTTTGACAATTACATATAGATAGAAATGAGTTATTTTGTTGATGAATCAATTTACGAGTTATTTTCAGCCGATTGTAAGCTGTATTGAATGAATGTTAAATTAAGCCCCCTGAAAAACAAACAAATATATGGTCCTATTCATGTGTATGCTTGAGAGTGTAAGAATAATAGAGTGTGCTACGTAAGGAGAAATGTAGGAAATTACCTAAGTTTTAACTGATATCGCAATTTATCTCTCTGAAGAAATTAGAGGTAAATTTTGCAAGTAATTGATTAGAGAAGCCAAAACTGTTAGTACAGATAAAGGTGTATCTGCGATTTTTTCCTGCTATCGACAGTTGAGCAAAGCAGAGACGCACAAGTGTGATACACCATTCACTAGGTTTTTATGTGGATTGTTTTTAGCGTAGGTAAACAGACAAGACCCATCTCTGCATGGAACCGGGAAAAGGCCTGGAAGTTGTATCTTAGAAAAGTTCTTCAATGGAGGAGGGGGGCCTTACTGTTTATAGAAGATGAATTGTACAGAAGAGACAGCAATGTCTACAAGGACAGAGAGAGAGAAGGACGAGTCTTGCTGTACACCACAGAGTTATTGGAGAAGCACATACTTGGCAAACTGCAAGACTGGAATACCCACACTTGTCTCCTAGATGAATACTTCATCGTAGATCATAAGTAGTTTCCAGAGACGAGTCGTGAGACATCCTATTCGTCAATGATTCCGCAAGAATTAAATCAGGGATGTAAATGAAATCGCTGGTTCACATGATCTCTCATCTCATTCACTCAGATTCCCACTAGTATCAACTGTTTGACTTTACATAACATAAGAAATGCAGTTTCGCACTAATCCGCTCGATGTATCAGCCTGAAACATGCATTAGCATTGTCAAACTGAATGTTAGGACCACTGATAAAGCTAGCTGTAAGAACGACTGTGTTTACAAGACGAGTAAAAAGGAGTGTTAACACCAAAACACGCAGCGAAAAGAACATAAATTGCAAGTAAATCTGCCGAGAACGATATCGAGCATACGGTACTCGTAGTCGACAGCTACAAACTGAGAGCACAACGTTGTCATGCACAGTGAATTGGAATTAAACAATAGAAAACAGATCTGTTTTCCTCTAGTATTTCTCGCTCTGCCCATCTCTGGAGATTTGTCATCTCAGAAAGCTTATCAACACCAATATAACGCGTGTCCTTACTGATATAATTACTATATGCCAGAGTAAACCTGGGTCTCTCCTACGGATCAGGAGTAAGCAGCTTCTGCACCACAAGACCATACAGAGCAATATTACTTATGTACCCTTCTCCCAGAGAATCACTCACGAGATCATTTTTGTGACTCAGGTTAATTTCTCATGTCTAGATTGTGCAACGAATAAGCAGTGTCAATGAACTGTCACTGATGTCCTGAACTTCACTCTGGTTTCCTACTAGTAGTCCTAGTAAGCTTTCCATGAGCGATGTTACAGCTCTTGTTGTTCGATGATCCTGAGTGTTCTACTGTAACCTGTAGTGTTAAAAAGTGTCTAGTGTACCATCCTGATGTCCGAGCTGTACCGAGTGTCCCGAGTGTCCTGAGTGTTCTAGATGTCCTGAGTGTCCTATGTCCTGAGGCCTGAGATCTGTGTCTGAGTGTCTGAGTGCTGATGTCCTAGTTCCTGGTGATCTGAGTGTTCTGAGTTTCTGAGGTCCTGATGTTCTGAGTGCCTGATGTCCCTGAGTTCTGATGTCCTGATTCCTGAGTGTTCCTGTGTCCTGAGTGTTCTGAGTTGATTCCTGAGTGTCTGAGGTCCGATGTTCTGATTGTCCTGAGTGTTTAGTGTTCTTGAGTGTCCTAGAGTGTCCTAGTGCTGATGTCCTGAGTTCCTGTCGTGTCTGAGTGTCCTCAGTGTCCTAGTGTTCTGATGTCCTGATGTCCTGAGTGTCCTGAGTGTCCTGAGTGTCCTGAGTGTCCCTGAGTGTTCTGAGTGTCCTGAGTGTTCTGATGTCCTGAGTGTCCTGAGTGTCCTGAGTGTCCTGAGTTGTCCTGAGTGTCCTGAGTGTCCTGAGTGTCCTGAGTGTCCTGAGTGTCCTGAGTGCCTGAGTGTCCTGAGTGTTCTGAGTGTCCTGAGTGTCTGAGTGTCCTGAGTGTCCTGAGTGTCCTGAGTGTCCTGAGTGTCCTGAGTGTCCTGATGTCCTCAGTGGTTCTGAGTGTCCTGATGTGTTCCTGAGTGTCCTGAGTGTCCTGAGTGTTCTGAGTGTCCTGAGTGTTCTGAGTGTCCTGAGTGTCCTTCGAGTGTCCTGAGTGTCCGAGTGTTCTGAGTTCCTGAGTGTTTCTGAGTTGTCCTGAGTGTCCTGAGTGTCCTGAGTCCTGAGTGTCCTGAGTGTCCTGAGTGTCTGAGTGTCCTCAGTGTCCTGAGTGTCCTGCAGTGGTTCTGAGTGTCCTGATTGTCCTGAGTGTCCTGAGTGTCCTGAGTGTTCTGAGTGTCCTGAGTGGTTCTGAGTGTTCCTGAGTTGTCCTGAGTGTCCTGAGTGTCCTGAGTGTTCTGAGTGTCCTGAGTGTTCTGAGTGTCCTGAGTGTCCTGAGTGTCCTGAGTGTCCTGAGTGTCCTGAGTGTTCTGAGTGTCCTGAGTGTTCTGAGTGTCCTGAGTGTCCTGAGTGTCCTGAGTGTCCTGAGTGTTCTGAGTGTCCTGAGTGTCCTGAGTGTCCTGAGTGTCCTGAGTGTCCTGAGTGTCCTGAGTGTCCTGAGTGTTCTGAGTGCTGAGTGTCCTGAGTGTGTCTGAGTGTCCTGAGTGTCCTGAGTGTCCTGATGTCCTGAGTGTTCTGAGTGTCCTGAGTGTCCTGAGTGTCCTGAGTGTCCTGAGTTGTCTAGTGTCCTGAGTGTCCTGAGTGTCCTGCAGTGGTCCTCCAGTGTCCTGAGTGTCCTGATGTCCTGAGTGTCCTGAGTGTCCTGAGTGTCCTGAGTGTTTCTGAGTGTCCTGAGTGTCCTGAGTGTCCTGAGTGTCCTGATGTTCTGAGTGTCCTGAGGTCCTGATGTCCTGAGTGTCCTGAGTGTCCTGAGTGTCCTGAGTGTCCTCAGTGTCCTGAGTGTCCTGAGTGTCCTCAGTGTCCTCAGTGTCCTCAGTGTCCTCAGTGTCCTCAGTGTCCTCAGTGTCCTCAGTGTCCTCAGTGTCCTCAGTGTCCTGAGTGTCCTGAGTGTCCTGAGTGTCCTGAGTGTTCTGAGTGTCCTGAGTGTCCTGAGTGTCCTGAGTGTCCTGAGTGTTCTGAGTGTCCTGAGTGTCCTGAGTGTCCTGAGTGTCCTAGTCCTGAGTGTCCTGAGTGTCCTGAGTGTCCTGAGTGTCCTGAGTGTTCTGAGTGTCCTGAGTGTCCTGAGTGTCCTGAGTGTCCTGAGTGTCCTGAGTGTCCTCAGTGTCCTCAGTGTCCTCAGTGTCCTCAGTGTCCTCAGTGTCCTCAGTGTCCTGAGTGTCCTCAGTATCCTTGTCCCCCTTCTTCTGGTTCTGCGTGTGTGGAACAGATTATATCTTCTACGTATCGTGTATGTTGTGATTATGTCTCCTTTCAGTTTTTTTTTTTGTAGTTTCTCATGCTATGTCTTGTTATTTAGTCCCATAGCCAGTCTTGTTGCAAACCTTTGGATCTTCTTTTCTTGTCTATGTTTAATAAGGTGGGTGCTCAACACAGGTTCTGCATACTCGAGGACTGTTCTGACGTGTGTTGTGTATATGGTCTTGGATGTGGTTAGTTGTGGTTCTTTATCCTCTCCCCATGTCTTTATTTTCTTCCTCTCTCTCTCTCCTCTCTCATCTTCGTCTCTCATCTCTCTCGCATCTCCCATCTCTCTCTCATCTCTCTCACTACATCCTCTATCACCATTCTTTCCATCCTCTCCCTCAGTCTTCATTTACCCTCCTCTCCTCCTCCTACTCCTTCTTCTCCCTCCCTCATCTTTCTCAGCTCTCTCCTCTCCTCTCCATCCTCCCTCATCCTCTCATCTTCGCCCTCATCTCTCTCATCTTCGTCACTCATCCTCCTCCTCCACCTCCCTCATCTCTCACCTCTCTCACATTCATTAACAATTAGAGGTAATAACGAGTCAGAATTAAATGGCTGTTTTTACATATAATATCTTGGACATTAGAGACAATTTTACTCCTCGATCAAACACAGACCCAAGACTCTTCAAAATATCTGATTCCATTACCATCTACGTCTCCTCCCGTTAATAAAGTAAAATTATTCTTAAAATTATATTGA